ACCCAGTCACAAACCAGCCACCTAGTAGACTCCCAGCACCACTTCTTGTGCTATCTCAGCCAAGCCGCCCCGAAGCCAGTGTAGTTCGCGATGTGCAGTGCTGTATTAAAACATATCCAACCGATTGACCGCGACTACAGAAAGTGAGTTATAATCATCCACGGACGAAGAGGACCCAGACCCCGTCGAAGACGAACACTCACCGTCTCACCACACTATCCCTCGAGACGGAAGAGTACGGATTTACCAAACCCACAATCACCGTGTCCAGAAAGGAGTAGCTTAGTGTTAGTATGATCTCGGCAACGAAAACTTGTGAGCCAACAGCGAGGATACGCACTTTAACTTTTACGCATTAACAAACTTTTCAAAAACAGTACCCTCACTGTTGGACCCTGTTGCTATAGTCTTATAGGTAATTATAAGTCTTGTGAGAAAATACGAGCACCTTGAGGCTCATATTTTCGTCTTAAAACGGGGAGTGTTGTGGTGAACCGGAATTTCAACCCTTAAAACAGTCCTACTGTAGCACATAGTATTTGTCCATAACGATTCTACCCTTCATTATCATGGGAACCAAAAGTCCGAACTTCCCAGTATTGTCAATTAATATCATCTTCAAGGCAAACGATCGCTTCTCACGGCCCCACATAGTCACACTTCCTTCCAGGAATATTCGCCAAAATGCATTCCATGCCCAAATATGGAGAACAACTTCGCGCCCAATCAAATCACTCCAATTGCAATTAATATACAAAGTTGCATGGGAAACCTGGGGTCAAAGCAAACACTTCCGATCAAGGCCAATAAGTCTGACGAATGCGTTATCATTCTGGGTGGTCCGATGCCAATTAATTATGGGAAATGCATTTTTACAAACACTCGCCGCCGTTTCCGGCGACAAAATTGCGAGAAATGCATTTTTTTGTTACATCTTCTTCGCTATTCTCACGCTTGAAAACCCTATAAAAACGTCTCGATTAGAAATAAAATTCAGTTCGATTCCGATTCAGTCTGGCGTGTGGATGGGACTGCTTCCTAGTCTAATCGTGATACCCAACTTTCGGCCGCTGTGCTAGTGGCAAGTGCGAAAGTGCATCCTCCAAGCCAACTTTCTTCAGCTGTTGCAGTGGCGCTTCGTCGCTTCCGATCTTCCACCGAGCCGCTAACTCCACGACATGTAAGTCCCACTGACCTAGTTACGGCATGCCCTATTCTGTCCTTGCGGAGACCGGGTTATCGGTCATATTATCGGCATCTCAGAGTGATTTTAATACATCATCAGGATGAATCTCGCTCATCAAGTGATTGACTCCCCTTATCAAACCAGATTCTTTCGACTGTATTCGGGACCCCCGTGCCGTATCAGAGGAGTTTGCCCTATAGGGCACTGCCCACGTTTTTATCTCATCTACGCGTTCAATCCCGTGAACCAGCACTCCTCCGCCGTCAAGGAATACGTCCCCAACACTGGGAGCCCTATCCCTTAGGAAGGGTTGTAATTATATCACTTACCCCCCCCCCCCCCCAAATCTCGAGCCATGACCTAGGAAAGCGCCAACAACCCTCTAATTCTCATCTATATTATAGTTTTAATAATACTTTAAAAAGGGAACATTTCACAACCCTGCCCGTTTCTTCTAACTTAGTTTAATGTTTATGTTTACTGCCCTTTTATTATTCTTTCCAATCATTCGCAATATTTTCTTAGTCTTAATTACGAATAAGATGTACGAGCCCTAATCTTGTTCCGTCTCGTTTACTCGTTTAAACTGTAGCATTTGTTTATTAATAGATTACCTATGGAGCGAACCGCTTCGCGTTTCACTTACCCTTCTCGCATCCCGAAACGGCCCTCACGGGCCAGGACCTAAGGGGCACCATTTTGTGACGCCCACCGGCCATAAAAACTCGGACATCAAAAATTAACATAAATTATAGAAAAGAGCCGGCAGGGCCACCACATAATGATACTATACTAGTTAAGATAAGACTGATTTTGGCAAATGATGGTCTGTTATAAGAATGCAATAGCTTTACAACTTCCCTCTTCAGAGCCAATAAAATGAGCGTTCAAAACGGAATAAGGGTGGATGGGCGGGGCCATTTCTGACTTCGTTTTGAATCTTGGCTTCTATCGTTTTTCAAAATAGAATTAAATTCCGATTTTACAGTTTTTGATTTTTTGTATCCTCGTTTTTGAAGTTTTCGATTTTTCGATTTTTCAAATGTTCAACATTTCAATTTTGGGAATTTTACAGTTTCTGAATTATTTAAATTTTTGATATTTTAACATTCGATTTTTCATGTTTCAATTTCTCGATTTTTCAATTTTTCCAATTTCGATTTTTCCAATCTACAATTTTTTTCTATCTCACGTTTCCAGTTTTTAAAATTCAGATTTTTCGATTTTTCTACTTTTCAGTTCAATATTTGTACTTTTTAAATTTTGCGAACCTTTAAATTTTTGAGTTTCCAGTTTTTTGATTTTGCAAGTTGTCGATTTTTTAAATTTTACATTTTTCGATTTTTTGATATTTCGATTTCTTTACATTTTTGCAATTTCTGGATTTTTCAGTTTTTAGATTTTCTAATTATTCACTTTTTAAAATTTTAGATTTTTTTGCTTTCTTGATTTCTAGATCATTCTGTTATTGGATGCTTCTATTTTTCAATTTTTAGAATTTTCCTCTTCCTTGTTTTGATTGTTCGATCCTCCAATTTTTCTACATCTCAGTTTCACATTTTTTGGTTTTGTTTTTAATTTTTCAATTTTTAAAATTTTTACTTTTTAGATTTTTCAGTTTTTAATTATTTAGTTTTTCGAGTTTTTGACTTTTAAATAGTATATTATTAGCCAAGGTTGCAGAGCCAAGCATTCTAGACCGAGCGCAAATTAGAACCCGAGACGTGCAGCGTCGAGGGCTCTGAAGCGCGAGGTCTAGAAGTGGCTTTGCAACCGTGGTTAATATACTATTTTTTTCACTAGTAGAAACCATAAGACAATAAACTCAAAAAATAAAGGTTCAATTTTTTGACGCAACATGATTTTGTTTTGATTTCTAATCAAATTTAATCTAAATCTTCAACACAAAGCAAACCGTTTATACTTGTTGATGAATTAATCATTTTATCTTCTACCGTCTACCAACTACCATGCGTATACTCAAGTAATGTTTGTAGCACACATTTGTTCATTTCTTAAGAAATAATCACATCAAACATTGCGTACATAACCTCAATTTTTCTTTTTGAACCGGTGGTCGCAAAAGTTGAATTTGCTACCTCTAAATAAGTCGACATTTGCATGCGTCATGGCTGCTAGTGAAAAAAATCCTTTTCAATTCTCAATTTCTCGATATCCAGATGGTGAAACTTTTTGATTCTTCGATTTTCCAATTTGACCATTTTAGATTTATCGAGTCTTTTTAATGTTACATTTTGACTTTTTGATATGGAATTTTCGATATTCGAATTTTCAATTTCTTTTCTTTTCGATTTCCCGATTTTTCATCTTTGAGTTCTTCGATATTTCAATTCTTCCACTCATCAGTTTTTTCCATTTTTCAACTTTTTTACTTTTCGATTTTTTGATTTCCCGAGTTTACGATTTTCGTTATTCGAATTTTCAAGTTCCATTTTTCGATTTTTGACAATTCCAATTTTCAATTTTTCAAATTTTCAGTTTTCGAAAGTTCGATATTCTAGTTTTCAATTTTTAAATTTCAATTTCTCGATATTTTAATTTTTCCATTTTTCGATGTTCCGATTTTTCAATTTTCCATTCTTCAGTTCTAACCTTTTCAATTTTTCCATTCTTTAGTTTTTCGATTTTTCAAGTTTTTTACTTTTCGATTTTTTTTTTGATTTCTCGAGTTTTCGATTTTCGTTACTTGAATTTTCAAACTTTGTCCTTTTCGATTTGTAATTTTTCGATTTTACAATGACATCCTTCAATTTATAGATTTTTTAATTTATTTACTTTTCGATTTTTTTGATTTCGTGAGTTCTCGATTTATTTTAGCAGATACTAGCGGGGGGGGGGGGGGCTAGTGGATGGGCATACCCACCCTCTCTTTTCTTAGAGGGCCATTTGCCAAAATCAGTCTTAACAGATACTAGCCCCACTCACCCGCCCTCTCTTTTCTTAAAGGGTATCTCATTTGCCAGAATCAGTCTTATCAAAGCAGTTACTAGCCCCGCCCACCCACCCTCTTTTTTCTTAGAGGGTATGCCATTTGCCAAAATCAGTCTTAATAGATACTAGCTCCACCCACCCGCCCTCTTTTTTCTTAGAGGGTATCTCATTTGCCAAAATCAGTCTTATCTTACCATGTAATGTAAAAATCACAGGTAAAAACTTAACACGGATTCTAAATTACACATACGTGGAGTATGTAGTTTTGTAAAATTTAAGAAACATTTGTTCTACAAAATTATAAAATGGCGTCATCATTTTATAGGAGGCCATAAACGAAAAAATTGGGATTAACCTTGATTGCCAGATTAATTATATCGAAAGAACAATAATAACACGATCCAAGGGAGCTAGACGAATTTTTTTATCGTTGGAAACTTAAACTTTCAAATTGACGGGTAATCTGATAAGACGAAAACTCTATCAAAGACAAGCTTCAAAAATCCATTGCCATCTTTGATCACATTTTTTATTGATCTCTTGGTATAAATATTACAATATGTTACTTAGTCAGTGATTTTTAAAAAGGTTACAGCTGGTTACAGTTTCAGTAATGATTTGATGTACTAATAAAGTAATTTTCTATAACGACGGATGACCTAGTTATTCGAATTCTTGTACTGTTGAATACGTTTAGTTTACACGTACATTTTAAAGGAATTTTATGCTAATATTCTAGGAATTATCACTTTAGCCGCAACACAATCATTTTTCAACTTGGTATGGTACAACCACTGGTACAACTTAATGTAAGATATGCTGCTAGTTTTAAATCAAAGGCAAAACAATGACAACTACACACTTTATTATTTATGTTTATTAAAAATAATTGCACTTATTAAATAAGGCCACATTTACAGAAATTTATTCACAATACAAATTAATTGTGTAGATCAACATAGCACTGAAAGATAAATAGATCACTCATAGAACACAGTTTTATCCCTGACGTTACCAGACCAACTGCATTTAATTGGCAACAGCGGCGGCTCTCTTTATGTGTTTTTTGAAGAAATGCTTGCTTTTCTTAGTTTCCTGTTTCATACACTCGTTTTTCTCCTTTTTTAAATGTTCTTTAAACGTTTTAAACCAACCAGGTTTTTTCTCTTTCTTAGTATCTGAAATCTTTTCTAAATTATCAGCACTTGTGCTTGGGTTTAGAGGTGGTTCATTTATGGCATCTAGATTATTTAAGTTACCCACACTGTTGCTAAATTTGACAGCCTGATGTATCGGTTTTAATCTGCACTCCTTATTTTCTTGAACAACTGATCTAATTGCCTGTCCATTATCAGATTTAGATCTAAAAAAAATATAGAAACATTAAATCATTACAAATTCCTTTTTATAAGTACCTCATGACTTTCATTTTTTCAAGATCTCCAACTCTTATGCTATCTCGCAAACGATCCCAAAAATTAAAATGCGCCATGCGTTTGTAGTTTAAAGTAAACATGTATTTAATGTGAGCAGGTTGAACTGTTAGGTCTTTATAAACAATAGGCACAATTTTTCTTTCTTTATCTAAAGTTGGTCAACATTAGACAATACTTTAAAAAACAAGAAAATATTACCTATCCCAAAGGCTTGTGCAAATCTGACCAAATAATCGTTCACAGAACTTTTAAAAAAATTATCTGATAAAATAACAACCACTCTGTTACAACGCTCTGTAATCAGAGTGATCATTTTGTCCATTTCCAGTCCCCCTCCTACTAAATCACGATCTTTACAAATAAATCTCATATTATAATCTTTTTCCATGGTTTCCAAAACTTGGATAGCGAAATCGATGTCATCCTGGTCGTACAACAGAAAGGCATCATAATTCACTAAGGAACGTCCTTCACTAAGTCTTTCAACATCATCCGTTGTGATAATATATTTATCAGCTTCCAAAGAAACTGGTTTGATTTCTGGTCCCTGCGGATGAGCTTTGTACATTCTAATGTCTTCATCTAAATCAAAATCGTAAGGAATGAAAAAAGATGTTTTTTTTTAATACCAATTAGCTCGTCAATATCTGTCACAACATCAAATCTATCCATTTCTTCTAAAAACAGTATGAATTGTTTTATAGTGCTACTATCAGGGTCTTGCGTTTGCCATAAATTGAGCACTTTACTTGTAGGGTCTGGGTTATTTACAATACTAGCTTCATAATTTGCATGTATTTTGCACAGCCCAGCCAAACCTTGCCAATTCCTACATTTCTTCCATTTTAACAAAGCGTATTGAATTAATGAAATACTCACCGCATTACTCCATTTGGTGCAGATATAAACATCTGCGGATTCAACAGGTCGCTAATCAAACCTTTGGTTTTTGGTCTCAGTGCCTTAATAGAAACGTTCCTAATGTCATTAGCTTCCTCCATAATTCACTAACTACTAAAATTACTATCGTGTAGCTTTCATATTTAACGATACTTACAACTATTCGACTATTATACGGTCATCTTTCAAACGCTTTATTTATTTGATGAAAGTAAACCGACATCGCTAATTGATTGACAGTTGACGTAATTGACATAATGGAGATTGCCAATCAAGTCACATGCTCAGTCTAAAAATACGAAAATACCCAAACAATTCCCGCATCGTAGATTCAGAGAAGTTGTATTAATTTGCAGGCAAATTGTACCAAAATTTCTGATATCTTTATATTAGTTATTTAATTTAATTCTAAAACAGCACGAGTTGTTAAGTATCTCAATTAAACCATAAAACATTCATAAAATTTTGATTGCAAAAGACGGCCATCTTTTGTGTGTATAGTGCCTTTTTTTGGGTTGGTACAACGATTTATGTCAACCAATGTCAGATCAATAGTGTCAATAGCAAAGGCGGGGTTTGCGTTTTTATAGGTCCCAGTTTAAATTTAAATATCAGTACTTTTTGTCACAAAATTGATGATAACTAAAAATGACTATTCGAAACACAGTTGAAAGAAATATTATAAGTTTACGGTCATATTTATAATAATCAGTAATAGGATCTGCCAGTATTAGGGTTCACAAAAGTATAATATGTACATACATATTTCATTACTGAATATAAGAATTTATTTTTGTCGTGCTATTTATTGAAACAGGGGAGGAACGACTTTTTAATGAAATTCCAGTTTTATACTTTTTCTTTTCTACTAACACACAGTATGCTGTCGTACTTCGACATACCTTCCGTTTGCTTTTAACGTGCATATTCCTTTAGATAGTTTAGATGATATTTCATTCTTTCAGTGCATGGATATGTCACAAACATATGATTTTTTGAGACTCAAGCGTGTAATTAAATTAATATGAAAGCTCGTAAGATAATCTTGAAACAAAAAAAATCGGCCAAGGTTAAATAGAACTTCCCTCGCCCCTGAAGTACCTACATATCCCCCTTTTTCGAAAAATGTCATATTTAATCATTGTGGATAGTCAAGGCTAAATAATGACACACTTTGCAATATTGAATGTCTTTTATTAAAAAAAATAGTACAGCGGTTGATCACAGTAACAACGTTCTTACCTCTTCTGTTACTTATTTTTTTGTGCATGCGTTTTTATGGGACATTCATTACAATTTGATAAGAAAATGATAGGTACCGAAACCTAAATTGTTTTAAGTAAGAAAAAAAAAAAAGAAATAAGGAAAAATACGGGAGGTAAGTACATGATTACAATAAAATTGTTGTATCCACTGTTTCTACTTCGGAATTCTCTTTTTCCTGGAGATTTACATCTTCCTCTGTTTTTAAAGCTACCTCAGTTTCCAAAACCACCGTCTCTATAACCTCTTCAAAAGCCACCTCTATTACCAAAATTTCTCCTTGAAAATTTGTGTGGTGGGTACACAATTCCTTATATTAATTCACAATCGCTATTAATAATAACAATAAACTGAAATAAATGAAAATAGTGTCAGATATAGTCCACCTGCATTACTGATGGTGTGGCACCTATTATAGATCAACGGGAAATATTTCCAAAATTTGTTCGAGATTTTGAGAACTAATTATGACTTGGGTTCAATCATTTCCATTAGAACTGGTACCAATTTCTTCCAGAAAACTTACATTGATGTGGAAACCTACTGATGTTTTGCACATAATTCCTTTTTATAATCTCCAACATTCGCAACACGTCGGCTCGCCTTCTTCTCTACCTTCACATGCTGACACCATAACTGAAAAATTTTAAATTATATTTCGTGCAATTTTTATATTTATTTAAAAACTTTAGTTTTAGTTTAAAGTTTTTTAAGTCTTTGAGAGAAAAATATTTATTTCAATGTATAGGTACCGTTGAAGTATTTTTAAAATATTCATTGATCCTAGGTTCCACAGAGGAATCAAACACGATTTTAGCTGGCCAAAAACAAAAAACAACAGCTACAATAATAAACGAGTTGGGGATTTTCGAGGTCGTTGAATTGGTTTTCCATTATCGATTGTGGTTTTTCCAAATCAAAATGGCGAATATACAGTAATATTTCAGCGTAAAACCTTGCAGTCGTGGGTTCTCAAGATAGCTAATTTGGAATATGATACCTACTGGCTTTTCAAAATTCGAAATAGCGGATTTGTGCTGGCGACATAAAGCTCAGAATTGTGTTATTAGGGTGTAAAACTTTGTATTTGGACGTTTTCGAGGTCATTGATGTGTGGTTTTCAAAAAGCCAACCATTTATTAGTGTAACATTTGGTATTCGAGGTCGCCAGAGTTCAATTTTTTTTTGTTTTAGCCGCATAGGGTTTAACCTTAATTTCAATCGTTGTTATTAGTTTTGGAGTGGTTTAGACCAAGGCTTGCATTTTTAAACAATGACTAATGACTTTGAATTTTACAATTTTGGCCGGCTGGAATCGTGTTGGGTCCCATTTATTAAATTAGGCCACATTTACAGAAATTTATATTCAAAATACAAATTAATTGAGTAAATCAAAATATCACTGGAGGATTAGATATAGAGAGCATTTATACAACATAGGGTTAACTCGTTAATATTACCAAATCAACGGCGATTAATTGGCAACAGCGGTGGCTTCCTTTATATGTTTTTTATAGAACTGCTTGTTTTTCTTGGCTTTCTGTTTCACAGAGTTGTTCTTTTCTTTTTTTAAATGTTCTTTGAGCATTTTGAACAAGCCAGATTTTTTTTCTTCTTTACTATCAGCACTTGTACTTAGATTTGAAGGTGGTCTATTGATAGCATCTAAATTATTCAATTGTACAGCCTGATGTAATGGTTTTAATTCATAATCGTTATTTGCATTAACAGCTGATTTTGTGGTCTCTTTGTCAGGTTTAGATCTAAAAAATATATATAAAAACATCACATTAATCACTGAAATTCTATTTTATATACCTCGCGAGTTTCATTTTGTCAATATCTCCAACTCTTATGCTATCTCGCAGACGGTCCCAAAAATTAAAATACAACATTCTTTTGTAATTTAAGATATACATGTTCCCAATGTGGACAGATTGAATCGTTACATCTTTATAAGCAATAGGCACAATTTTCCTGTCTGTATCTGAAGCTGTACATCCATTAGACATGTGCAGTAAAAAATAAAAAAGAAAATATTACCTATCCCAAAAGCTTGTGTAAATCTCACCAAATAATCATTGACAGAACTTTTAAAAAGTGTATCTGACAAAATAACAACCACTCGATTACACCGCTGTGTGATGAGAGTGATCACTTTGTCCATTTCAAGTCCTCCTCCTAGTAAATGACCCTTACAACACAATCTCATATTGTAGTCTTTTTCCATGGTTTCCAAAACTTGTATGGCAAAGTCACTGTCATCCTCGTCATACAACAGAAAGGCGTCGTAATTCTCCAAAGGACGTCCCTGGCAAATTGTTTCTACATCATGTGTTGTAATAATATACTTATCTGCTTCCAAAGAAACTGGTTTAACTACTGGTCTCTGTGGATTTTCTCTGTATATTCTAATATCTTCGTCTAAAAGAAAGTCATAAGAAATGAAAAGAGAAGATGATTTTTTTATACCAATTAACTCGTCAATATCTGCCACAACATCAAACCTATCCATTTCTTCTAAAAACAATATGAATTGTTTTATAGTACTATCATCAGGGTCTTGCGTTTGCCATAAATTGAGCACTTTACTTGTAGGGTCTGGGTTATTTACAAGACTAGCTTCATAATTTCCATTAATTTTGCACAACCCAGCTAGACCTTGCCAGTTCCTATGTTTCTTGTGTTTTAACAAAAAGTATTGAATTCATGGAAAACTTACCGCATTATTCCATCTGGAGTGGATATAAATGTCTGCGGATTCAACAGGTCGCTAATCAAACCTTTGGTTTTTGGCCTCAGTGCCTTTATGGGAATGTCCCTGGGGTCATTAGTTTTCTCCATAATTCCCTAATTACTAAAATTACTGTCACGGAGCTTTCATATTTAACGAAACTTACAACTATTTGTAGATTTGTAATTTTGTATGTTGTGGTCAGTGGTTATTAGATCATCTTTCACTAAATGTTACCCCTGCGTCCGATAGAGGGCGCTGTTGCTAATTAAAATTGCACAGTGAGCAATACGCATGTCGATTTTGGTTGATGAATCATTTTAAACAAGCAAATTTGGAGAAAGTTATACTCAACGGTATTTTTATTTTGTCTTTTCGTCCTGTGATTTCGTTTTGAACACTTGAACTTTAGAATTCTAAGCTTTCTTGAGTTTATATTCTACAAGCATACAGTAGTTTTGCATTCGTATTTGGCATATTTTGGTAAGTTGGAATTATCTTAATACTTGACAAGAGAAACCGAACACATAGAAAAACCACTTTTTTGACGAATATTGTATATATTGGTATATGTGAAAAGTAATTTAGGCAAAAACACCTTTTCACGTACTGAATACTGTTAGGGTAACAATTAATCATGTTGTGTGTGATTAATACGAATTGTAACTTGATGAAGTTATGACTCCAGTAAGATAACAAAATGTACATTTTTTCTAGATGTTCATTCAGGTTTGTTTTGTCATTTAGTATATTATTTAAAAATATATCAATATAGAGAATTATTTTCAAGGATTGGCGAAATGGAGGGTAGCATTATTTTCAAAAATAAATGTAGTGTGCCTGGCTGCGACGACAAGGTGTCCAAAAGGCATCGTTTTCCCAAAGAGGAACAGCTGCTGAAAAAATGGATTGAAAACGTCAACGCGCCTCTTTTTAGTTCCATGGAACCAAGCGAAATCTATAAAAAATATGTGTGTGATAGACATTTTTCTAGCGATTTCAAAGTTCCTGGAACAAGACGGGGACTTCGTAAAGATGCTTTTCCGAATATTTGTTTATCAGCAGGTATGTACAAACAATTATAATTGTATTACAAAGTGTCATCAGTAATAAGTAATGAGCGATAAAAAATATACACTGCCGAGCATAAATTCGGGTCACCCCGTAATTTTTTTCGATTATAACATACTCTACGAACTGATTGCTTTAAAAAAAATTTTGTTGTTTGGATAAGCGTTTGACAAAAAAGGAGTCCTCCAGCCAAATTCTTAAAAACCATTATCAGCATAGTTTTTTTTTGTGTTATCTGTCAATTGCAAATTGTTTGTGTAGTGTTGTCAATGGTAGTTTATTGCAATAATTCGAAATCATCTGCAAAAAGTGAAAAATGTAAACATAAGTGAGCGGACAGTTCAGATTTAAATCCCATTCAACATGTTTGGGATGAGATGGGGAAACGTTAATGGAACAATCTTCCGCAGAATGTGATCCAAAATCTTATCCAAAGCATGCCTCGTCGTTTGCAAGCTGTTCTCACTGCCAGCGGAGCGAATACTCGGTACTGAAGTCCTGAAATTTTTTTTGTTTCATCGAAACGCATATCAAAGTAAATTTGTTCATTTCTATTACTTTCAATGAACTTTGAACAACAACTTTTTTTTCAAGCAATCAGTTAGTAGAGGATGTTACAACCAAAAAAAAATCCGAAAAAAATAAAAATTTCTAAAACAACTTCAAATTACGGGTGACCCGAATTTTATGCTCGGCAGTGTATCTCTTTTGGATTTTCGTGACATACTGTTTAATTAAGATGCCAGATAAAAAGTTATTTCTTTTTGTATTGCAGTTGTCCTACAAGGGAAAAAGAAAGACGACGTCCATTTGACGTCAAAGGTTGAAGAAGCAGCCTCAGTAACTAGTGATTTTATTCGATCACCAGTAATCCCAAGTGAGTAAACATGAATTACAATTTTATTTAATTTAGAAATACCTACTCATCTCATTATTTATAACATCATTTCATTGTTACAGATGTAGAAGATGAAACTTGTTTGTCTCCTCCACAAAATAATTCGTGCACAAAGCCGCTTATGAAATGTACGCATAAGGAGGATTTTTTTACAGAATTGTAAACGCATCTACAATTCATTCAGAAAATCAACTTATGTTTCTGTCTTGCAGCACCGAGAAAACGATGGCGCATTTTGCGCAGTGTAGATGGGCATACGCATCGGGTGTGACGGCAAGTGGCATCAAATTAGCGCGAAATTTAAAATACATTCTTTAAATTGCAAACATTTATTTGTGATTATTCAGTTGTTGCAGTGGTATGTGTGATGCGATCGCAGAATTTAGGTTTGTGGAGAGAACTGAGCATAAATATGTCGAAAACCTTTTTTCAACACCCAAGTGATAAAAGTAAATTGGTATTTGCATTTGCTAATGTCCCACATTTATCGAAATTGATACGAAACCACATTTTTGGATCGTTCAGTTTTCAGTAATTACATTTTTATCATTATTAATTTCATTAACATTCGTTAGCCGAGAACTAATTGATGTATTTGACCTGAGCGATGACAACTCAAGTTGAAATTCCCAAGAGTTCCCTAGCGAAGCTCAGAAGGTCGTTGATGCCACCTGACGTCACAAATGGATGCGCAGACGATTTTTAAATTGGTACATCGGATCAGGGATGTTGCGGATGCAGATTTTTCAACATACGCGGATGCGGATTTTTGGGAGCTCACATCCGCAGATACGGATGCGGATCTCAAGTTTTTTTTTAAGAAACTTAGTATATGTACAGAAATCAGTTAAAAAAATGGGGGTTTTTAATATTTCTATTTAATAAACAAATTTTTAGTACGAAAATTAAAAATTCTTGAATTATATTTAATAAAAAGTAATATTGCGGCCTTTTCAGGTTCGGGTCTATTTCTCAGAGGTTCATAAATTAATCCTGCACTACTAAATAACTGTTCACTGGGAACACTAGCTGGTGGAGGCGATAAAAATCTGCGTGCTATTCCAGATCAAATTTTTAATTCGGTACGATTAACGCTCCACCATTTAAGTGGACTTTCATTTATATTCAGCCTTGCTTTATTTCGATACGAAAGCAATTCCTTCTTGAGGACAGCATCAGGGGAACCATTTTCTGATATTTCTTGACTATCATCTTCACTTGACGAATCTGGCATCATGGTAAGATCGCTTTTCAAGCATGGCTTTCAGGTTGTACCGGATGTTCCAGGTTGTTCCGTATCTTTTACGAGGGAATCTCCCATTTTAATTTTTTTCGCTGCTTTGAAATTTGGAGATATTTGAGAGTTTGAGACGTCATTCTCTATGTTTGTCCTAATCTTCAAAATATCGTCCTTAATATTTTCCTCGGTCACTGGTGTAAAAAACTTGTGCTTATAGCGCGGGTCTAAGTACGTGGCTATGACATATAAATTGTTCTCTTCCAACAAAGAAAATTTTGCTGAAACTTCAGTTTTCAGAGTCATGACAGCCACCCGAATTGGATCAGAATCCTGTGGTCTTGTTAAATAATCAGCAAGTTTTTTTCCAAGCATTTTAATTATTGGAATCACAGATGATATAAGTGTATGAGAGTTACTTAGTTCCCGTGTGGCTTCTTCAAAAGGTTTCAATAGCTCAACACAAGATTCAATAATTCCACTCTTCTGGCAAAACAGGGTCAATTTCACTGTCATTGATATAAAGACTCAATGCATCTTTTACCTTTAAAAAACGCTCAAACATGTAAAACGTACTGTTCCATCGCGTTACACAATCTTGAAACACTCTGAGATGCGGTTGATTCAGTCTGTCCTGGATTTTTTGCAGTTGTTTTTGAGCAATGGTGGAATGGTTAAAGTGAGTCGAAATTTTCTTACATTTTTGTTTGACGGTTGTTATGTTTTCCTGCGATTGTAAACCACTTCGAATAGCGAGTTGCATCTTGTGAACTGCACAATCCAAATCATTCAATACTGCTAATCGCATAGCTCTTTTCATATTGGAGCCTTCGTCACGAATAATGCAGTGCACTTGTTCTTTTGAAATATTCCATTCAGTAAGCATGGTGTCAAATTTTTCTGCAATTATGTCACCTAAGTGACGGTCGTCGAAGGTTTCGCATTTCAATATAATCAATGATCGATCGAAGTTTTTTGCGATTCCATGACAAGTCAGGCTAGGCAAAGATGCATTAGAGCTTGGATCCGACCAAATGTCAGAAGTAAACGCCATGTAATCAAATTTTTCGATTAATTCTTTCACTTTGTTAGCAACTTTGCCATACAGTTCCGTGCACACAAAGTCAGTAAAAAAATTGCGCCCTCTTAAATTATACTTTGGTGATAATTCTTGTATCAGTCTGCGAAAACCGAGTCCCTCTACAAAATTAAACGGTACATTTTGAAGTGCAATCATTTCTCCGATGAGTTTGTCAATTTTTTTCGAATTTGAATTGTTAGTATCCCACTTTTTTTCTTTTTGAACTGCTTCCTCTATCGAAAGTTGTTTCTTTGGTTCTTGTAGTGGAGTGAGGATTTTATCTAAAAATAAATACACACATAAATTATAACTTGTTATGGAAATTAACAAAAATAAACGGATGCAAAATAGATTTTAAATAACGAAACTTTTACTGCACCGACTTTTTTGTATTAAATACAAAATAAACCAAAAAATTTAACATTTTTAAATTTTTTAAATTCTCAAAGTAAATTGTTTTTTTGAAGTAAGCAATCACTTGGATTAAGACATAATTTAACATAATGTAAACTCTTTGTTTGAATCGTTGATAAAGTGTGGCAGATATTAATCTCCTGTAAATTTCGTTAACTTTGCAAACTTTCACCTCATACAATATTTCTCTAATCTCACAATTTTAACCTCAGTAATTTTCCTTTGTTGTATAATTTTCATTGAACGTAAATTATTTCATTCATTGCAGTCTTGACCTTACATAATATTTTTATTTGCACAAGTTTATTTCACACCAGATCTTTTGTTTTATAAAGCTTTGCTAGTTTTGTTTTGTAGATATTTTGGTGATGAATGTTTCTATCGTATCAATTATTTGATGTCCAATTTTAATCTCACATAAGAATTATTTGTTGTTTAAAATTTCACAAGATTGTATGGCGAATTTAAATGTTGTTTATTGCTCGTTGAAACTTTAACACTTGTTCAGTTGTTATAAGAGATTGAACATTTAAAAATGAAATTGAGGTTAAATAACTAGAAAACGTGGCAGAAGCGTTCCTAGTCGAGCTGGCGAGATTTATCGTGTCACGTGTACAAGTCCACAGGTTTGGATAGATTCAGGGGCGGTCGCCGATGTTGTAACGTTCTCGGCTTCGTGCTAGCCTAGACCCACCTACGGGTCTGGCGACCGTAACGGCCTAGTTTCAGACGGCATGTTCGTCCTGGAGACGCGTAATGTGCTGTTTGGGTAGGCTTTGCGATAGATAGAATCACCGTGGAGGGGGGAGAACAGCCCCGATCGCTAGCCCCAAACTCCGCTCATGCTAGAACGCCCCAGGGGTACTTTTGTTGTGCTCCTGTTAACTGCCGTAACTTTAAATTTGACGCCATACGCCTGTAATAACTTGTGTATTTGCATCCAGTTACTTTAATTCAGATTTTGCTTTGTTTTTATTAAATTTGTGATTTTCAAATATTTGCATTGATTCCAAACAGATGTATACGATTTGCGTGTGTTGCCATGTTAGCCCCTCGAAAACAGTTGTCTATTATTTCTTGCACTCTCGACTCACACGCAGTATATGCTCACTTATATGAAAGCAGGCCTTCCCGCCACTTTTCAAAAAAAACAAAACAAAACGTAGGTTCCATTTTGTAAGACGATCGCAGCCAATGCCAAATTTTGAATTTTTCGCGGGCCTTACAAACTTTTTCAAGGTCAATGTAAAGGCAAGAAGTTTGGGTTATCACAACATTTATTCTGTCACAAAACTAAAACAATCTTGACACACCTATAGCAAACTAAAATTATACACTTAATACAATGTAACTTTATAAAAATGCTGAATTTAGTAATTGTTGTATCCATTGTTTCCACCTCTGAATCCCCTTCCACCTGAAGGTCCACCTCTAAAAAACCCTCTTCCGCCGTTACCAAAGCCACCTCTGTTATTGAAGTTGCCTCGATTTCCAAAACCGCCGCCGTAGTTACCACCATCTCCATAACCACCGCCGTAGTTACCACCGCCTCTGTAACCTCCTCGAAAGCCACCCCTGTTACCAAAATTTCCTCTGGAAAATTTGGGTGGTGGGCCACTGTAGCCCAAGGTGTGACCTCTTGGGGGCCGGCGTCCAGCCTGCAACTGTGGCTTAGCTCTCTCAATTTGATGGCTTCCAGCGTGGAGTTTACACAACTCCTTGATGGTAGCGACAAACTGAAATAAATAGAAAATAGTGTCACATATAAACAAAATGAACAATAACAATAGTATAGCACCTTTAAATCAACGGGAGTCATCTCCAGAATTTGTTCAGGATCTTGAGACGCACGAACAACTAGACTTTCCAGTGCGGGTCTCAATGCAACAATCTGTGCGGCGACTTTCGGATCCATGTTCAAATTAATCCAGTTGTCAAGTCTCACAACTCCATCAACCTGAAATTCGTATTTAATTAACACTAGTTTCACAGATTTAATTTACTACAGTTTTACCCAATCGATCTTTCTTGAACCAAACAATAACAACTGAATAGGAGTAACCATACTCATTTGTTTGCATGATACAGCTCTGGTTCGTATTTTCTCCCCGAATACGAAGAAGGGATACGGGAATGTTTGTTCAAAATTACTACAATTGACTGATGTTTTGTGGATCAAAGCAGCTTTACTTTCAGTAGTTAATACTTTTCTTTTTTCTTTGTGGTAGCAAACGTTTGGATATAGACCGTAACACATCAACGCCATGACGACGTCTAATTTTGGATCGGGTCCAATCGTTTCCATCGGAATTGGTGCTAAAGTTTCTTCCGGAAACCCTACTGATGTTAAGATTTGTTGCAATTGATGTTTTGCTTCCCACGTTACGCGCATAGTGGGCATACTAATTCCTTTATACTCGCAAAATCTCTGCTCGCTTTCTTCTCCACCTTCACGTGCTTGATCCCACAACTGAAAAATTTTAAATAAAGTTTGATACACTATATGTATACAAACAATTTACACCACCAAACATAAAGTCAAAATTTTGTGTCACTTCAGACTTTAGTAAACTTTAATTCGGGTGTTTTTAAAATATTCATCAGTCTTATGTTGCATGGTGCCATAAAACACGATTCTAACTGGGGAAAAACAATCAAATAAAACCTAAAATGATAGCCGTCTTGAGAGTTCTCGAGGTCGCTGAGTTTGCATCGGTTGTGGTTTTTCAAAATTCCCAATGGTGGATCTAAGATGGCCAACATAAAGTTCAAGATCGTATTATTTTAGCGTAAAATTTTCCATTAGGATGTTTGTTTTTTTGTTTTGGAGGTCCCTGATTTCTGATTTGATTGCTTTTCAAAAACTCAAACTGGCGGATCCAGTGGATTAAGATGGCGGACGCAAAGTTTAAAATTTTACAATTTTTACGTAACATTTTACATTTGTTGGGTTATCAAGATCGCGGATGGGGAAGCTGATATCAATTTTTACAAAAGCGAAAATGATGGACGAAAAGCCGAAAGTCTTCCTTTAACAACAAAATTTCTTGGAGCTTCATTGTTTTGGTAATTGATTTCGTAGTTCATTAATTCTTTTAAGTTAGAAACAAGCTTCGTAATAGGTCCTTTGATCTATTCAAACCCTGAAGACCTTAAAATTGAGTGAGTCCATATTTACACAATTTAAAAAATATTTCACCGAAATTGTTATAATAATTTCTGGAGATATATGAAGTAGGTTTTATTCAATTTTATATACTGAAATTTTGTCAAATTTCTCCTTAAAACATTTAAAAATAATATTTAATCACTCTCAGTCCATTTATTTCTCTAAATTCACCTTTCAGTAGAATATACTACGTTGTTCTTGAATTATCACTCTTGTAAACATATCAGACACACCTATTTTTGAATTCCTCATGATGTTTATAACTAAAAGAATTTAATTAAAGCAGCTGGAAGCAATTGACAAAAATATTCTATGCGTAGTTCTAACAATACGAGAACATTTATTACTCCATAAACACAAAACAAAAATTGTTGACGCGTTTTGCCAACCACGTCGGCATTATCTAAACAAATCTGAGTTTAGACATAAGGTCCACATTCAAGGAACATTAATTTTTGTAGAAATGAAAATTTGTGCTCCCCAAAATATTTTTAAAATACAATAAAAAAAAAAATGGTCGAAAGTTATTTCGCCCCTGAAGTACAGTACAACTTATCCAACATTTTCGAAAATTTGTAAAATTTGGTTTTGGGAATTTTGTAATTTTGTAATAGTTTTATTATTTAATCTTTCGAGACAGCATAATCCTCTTTTCTATAATTTGCAGTGTACAATGTAAGGTTTTTTAATAAACATACATTTATTTAACAATTTTCAAAATCCATCAATTTTTCAGTAGAGATAAAAAAATAAATGTAAGTCGATGTTCTGTAAATCAATGTTGGTTTCTTACTTAAACTCCCAAGGAAGTCTATTTTTATTTAATCCAACAAAAATTAACAAAACTTTAAGAAAACATCGTCATTTCTTTAAGAGGATGTTTAAACAATGTTGGGGAGTATTTTGGTGTGTACATCTAAATTTTGTTTGCTTATAAGACCATCAATCGACGGAAAACAAACAGAGAGTAACCAAGGACTGACATTTTCGTATTCTACAGGCTCTGGAATGTGAAGAAAATATGAAATTTGACATTGATCCAAATGATCCTATTACAATACTGCACTTTGCTGAGCTGGAGAAAGAAACAATAATAACAATAATTAAAAAAAAAAAAAACATTACAGCTTTTTTTTTCGGTACAGGTTTATTTAATAATTTCCGATATGACGTCACCTGTTTTTCGAAAATAATTGATAAAATGTATTATACTTTTTTTTCGAGAGTATGAGCTGGAAAAAGGAAAAGTCTGCTGTTGATGCGCAAGGAAGATTATATTTCAGTGTATGGTGTTCGACAAAGACTTACTTAATGATTTTTTCAATGACGCCTTCTGTTTTCTAACGGGAATAAATAAATACTGTTACACTGATCGGTAATTTAAAATCGGCGTGAGTAAAACTCAATAATTTATTCCTCAGTAATACAAATTTCTAATTCTTTCATTGATTGTTTGCCGGTTCGCGACGGTGGTCACTATTTAAAGCGCCATGAGTTCTTTTAGAAGGTTCATGCTTGTCGCTTTCGAGGTTGTTCTGGAGTGCGGTATCGGGACTTCCGGCACCGCATCCAGTTTTTCTTTATTAGAACGTTGCCGTCACCGATGATGAGTCATTACCTCACATACTAGAAAACCCATAGGCGTCATACCGGGGCGGCGTATGGGTTTACTTCGTAACTATACATTTTAGTTTTTTTTTTGCAATTCTCAAATCAATATTAATTAAATTTTTAACTAAAAGGCAAATCTGGACGCTAGAATGAGCACTAATTTGGTGAATTTTTTCGCCACTAGTTCGTACTTGTAAGAGTAAAATTATTATTATTTCATGCAATCTCTAGAAATGATGCATTTTATTTTTTTGTCAGGCTGAGTTATTTTTTCTCCATTGAGAAGTGAGACCTAGGTACTGTGGTACTTTATAAAATTCTGACATAACATAAATTTTTGAAGGACTGTAAAAATAATTTTTGATGGTTTACCATTTTCTTTTATAAATTGTCAATAGATGGACAACATTATATTCATATTCTACAAGAAGTAAGATGACAATAAAACATGGAGTTAACATTCACCGATAGCACAAAATATTAATTTCAGCATCACATTCTTATCAATAAAAGAAAAAAAAAAAAAAAAACAAAAAAATTGACGAAAAATTAATTTTGTACCGTGTGATTTTTTTAAATTTCTGCTAGTGGGTCATGACGCATACGTCAGCAGTACAACTGAAACGACTGATGTAAGTGTCATGGCCAACCAGAGCAGAAATTTAAAAAAATCAACCGATGTTTATTAAAGGATTTTGATTTTATTTTCACTGCTTATCTTGAAGTAGTTATAGAATTCAATTTCTGAAGATATCGTCTGTATCTCGGGTTTCTTACAATTAAATAAAATCTATGTTTCAAATTGGATGAGCAACTCTCAAGGTATCATTATTAACTGATGAGAAATTTAAAAACGGCAAGTGTTTTGTGCAATATCACTAGAGAGCGGATTTCTAGGTTTAATGCTTTTTGTTAAAAATGTAAGCACTTCACAACTTTTTTATATCTGTAACTATGATAAAATTTGGAGTCATTTGACACATTTTTTTTTATGCTTATTTGCTTTTTTTTCAATTTTATGCATATTAAAACTTATATGCTTATTTAATGCTTTTTTCGATGAATATGAGTTTTAATGCATATTTTGTTCAAATGCCGGCCTTGTCGGGGTGACAAATACTTGTTTGTTAGCCGTATCGTATCGTATGCATTTTACCTGGACTTGACCATTGAAGTACACTTACTCAAGACCCTTTCTGTGAATAGGATCCGGTCGTTTGGGTAATAAAATTTTATTATAGGATTGGAAAAATACTCCATAGATTTTATGACTTTAAATCCTTACTTCCGTTGATAATGAATTAAAGCTTTTAACCAGATGTTCTTTTTCGGCATTTTGCGGCAAGACCATTGAAGATTTTCTAGAAAAAAGGATTATTGTACCCAACTACCTACCTTAAAATTTTTCTAATGGAAACTTTTAAGTAAATGAACCGTTTATTTCACAACCATCAGTCTATCGCATCTGTCGTAGTACAGTATTATACGTGGTTCTCCCATGTTACATGTTGAGTTCTTTTTGGTAATATTACTAATATTTTAAAAGAATGCCGAAAGTAAAATCGACGCCGGATGAGTGGATAAGGGATTTTCCAGAATTAAAATTAGAAAACAACAAAATATTCTGCAGAGCTTGTGTGAAAACCGTAAGCCCACTCATTTTTTAAATCTATTTTCCTTTGTTAATCCTGTATATGTACGTTGTTTTAGATTCAAAGTGATAAAAAATATAACGTGACGCAACATGTCAGAACGACTCTTCATGTAGAAAGGAAGAAAATGTTTGAAGTTTCTAAAATTAAACAGCAGACCATACATGAATCTGTTGCATCTACTTCCACAAAAGATGAGCAGTTTCAGTTTAATTTCGATTTGTGTAAAATGATGATCCAGTCCAATATACCTTTAAAAAAATTGGAGAAAGCACCCTCTTCAAGAATTCCTTGAAAAACACTGCAATCGACATATTCCGGATGAAAGTACTCTCCGAAAAAATTATGTAGGCCCAGTGTTTCAGCAAGTTTACAACGAAATTAAACATCGCACTGGAGATAATTATTTATGGTTCGCTGTCTATGAAACAACCGATAGTTGTGGAAGATACGTGGCAAGTTTAATTGTTGGAATCTTAAATAAAAATTTCCCTAGTCGAGGGTATGTAGTAAGTTTGAAAATGTTAGATAAAACAAATGGCAATACGATTACCAGATTTGTAAATGACAGTCTTACGTCACTATTTTTGCCAAATGCCGTATCGGCGAATAAAATTTTATTGATGATCTCGGATGCAGCTCGTTATATGTTGAAAGCAGGGAATAATCTAAAAATATTGTACCCCAATTTAATTCACTCTACTTGCATTGCCCACGGTTTAAACAGAGTTGCTGAAGGAATACGTTTGCAGTTTCCTACTGTTAATAAATTAGTGGCAAATAGTAAAAAGATTTTTGTTAAAGCCCCACTAAGAGTGCAACATTTTAAGGAAAAATTTCCAAACATACCATTGCCCCCAGAGTCGATTATAACGAGGTGGGGAACATGGTTACAGGCCACATTTTATTATGACAAATATATCAAAGAATTTGAGGAAGTAGTTACGGAGTTTAGCGAAGATTCTTCTCAATCGATTAAAGATTGCATAAATATTTTGGAAAACAAAGATTTGCGACAAGATCTAGCTTTTCTAAGAAGCAATTATCAATTCGTTTGTGAGGTAATAGAAAAGTTAGAAAAACCCAACATGTTGTTGGTAGATGCCATAAACTTAGTGAAAGAATTTAAACAACAAGCAAACGCAGTAAGGGGTGATATTGGTACTAGAGTATCTCAAAAACTTGACGAAGTGTTAAATAAAAATGCAGGTTTCGGTGTTCTTTCCGACGTTGCTCGTGTTTTACAAGGCCAGAAGGTGGAAAATTTGGAGTTAGAATCAACATTAGTTGCAAAATTCAAATTTGGGCCAACGAGTGTGGATATTGAACGCACATTCTCCAATTTTAAACACATTTTAAATGATCGTCGAAAAAATTTTACAGTGGACAACTTGGAACATATTACAATCATAAATTGTTTTAAAGAAAACTGAAATACGTGTGTAAAATATAAAGTCTAGGATTATTGTAATAATATTTTATCCAAAGTTCTAAGAAGTGTTCTTTGATTTGTAGTATGATTGTTTTTAATGCTTTCTTGCTTAAAATAAAACTTTTTTATTGAAAATGTTGTGCTTATTTAAGCGCTTATTCTTAATTTTTTTGTGCTTAGAAATCCGCTCTCTAAATATCACTAATAGGGATATTTACCGTATTACAGATTCTGAACCAATATGACGATATCATTTCCAAACTATACAGCACTTTATTTACACAAAAGTATCTTACCTCAAATGCCGTCAGCATTGCAACATGGTCAGAAAATCGATCGCCGGCAAGAGCTTTCTGATGATAACTTAAGCGCCTTTGACCCATATCCAACGTAAAGATTTCGGGAAACGTTGATGAGTTCGCCGCCATTGTTGCCAACGGTCCACCACACATGAAAATGCAACCCAATACCATCATCTTGCCAAGTCTTGGCTCAATTGGCAACTTCGCAATGATACGTCCAAGAGGTGTCAATTCATCATTTGCATCCAAACACTTCATTTCCCTCAATAAAACCTTTCAAAAACAAAGTCATTCAACTCTATAAAACTAAAACATGATATTTATACTTCTGCTTCAATCACGGCATCCAGTGGCGGAGGTTCTATAGCTTTGCTCAAGAAGTGTCCAATAGACCCCAATTTCAACAGCTTTATACTCAATGCCAGTTCATGCAACGGCGTCCTGAACATTTCAGGAGTCATATGTTCGTCTAATTTCTGGAATCGTGCATTCGAGCATAAATGGAAGCAAAAACCTGGTCGTACACGACCGGCACGTCCTTTTCTCTGTTCTAGATTGGTTTTTGAAGCCCAAACCGTTGCATAACTGGTCATATTGTTATGAGACGTGAACATTTTGATCTTGGCTTTGCAACTATCAATGACGAACACCACATCATTGATGGTAATAGAAGTTTCAGCGATGTTTGTGGCTAGAATAACTTTAGTAACGTGTGGTGGCACGGGTTCAAAAACCCTTCGCTGGTCTTCTCTAGGGATCTGCGAATGCAACGGCAAGATGCTATAACCCGCACTTCCAAAAATCGGATGTTGTTGTAAATGACGCATCATTGCGAAAATGAGATTCCAACCGGGAAGAAACACGAGAACTGCTCCGGGGATTTCCTGAGACTTGATATATTTCAATAACGCTTCCATCAACTCGAAACTAACTTCTTTTTCGTTCATTCTGGCCATCGCGTTTTTGGTTTGATTACTAAACTTGGCATCAATCACTTTATTCAAGTTTTCGTCACCTTCCTCTCCTAGTGCTGTTTCGTCGTCATCTCCACCACCAGATTTACGTTTGCGTACGTCAGTGGGTGGCACGAACTTCGTGAGTTCTATACAATCCTCCAAAAAGTACTGCTGGACTGGGTAAGTTCTCCCCGATATTTCAACAACGGGACAGTTATTAAAATATTTGGAAAATACACTCGTGTCAATCGTAGCAGACATCAAAATTACGCGCAGATCGGGGTAAGTGTGGATCATATCTCTCAATACGACCTATAAATAACAAAAACAATGAAGATTGGGTTAAAATCATATTTGATTTAGTACCATGATAAAGTCACTATTCACATCTCTTTCGTGAATTTCGTCAACGATTACATGACTGACACCTCTTAATCCGTTTTCTAGTTTTTTCAATAGGACTCCAACAGTGCAAAACATGATGGAACCGTAAGGCCTGGGAAGTACCGATTCGAAACGAACGGAATATCCGACAGATTGGCCTAGCGGTTCGGATCGCTCATTAGCGACTCGTTCCGAAACGGAAACTGCCGAAATTCTCCGAGGCTGAGTGATGCAAATGTTGCACCAGGCGCCCTGACCTGACATTGTGTAATCTTCGAGGATGTATTGACAGACTTGTGTCGTTTTACCTAAAAGAAATCGGTTTAACTTGATGGCGAACTGACTAAACTTTGTTTTAAGTAATGTTTGTTTTCTTATGAAGTTTTTCAATAAAAAAAATTAAACCTTTTTTCCTGTTTAGTTTAAATTTTCTTGAAAAATAGTTATTTACAATTTTAAATCTTCAATAATTTTGTTCACTCATTTAAACAATGTATAGTTACACCAACCAAAATCTGCAATTTTAATAAGAATAAAGTTGCTCCGTTATTTTTGTTGAACGATTGATAAAAAATAGTTTTAAAGATTTGTTGTTTTGTTATAAATATTAGTTAAAAGTATTTGAATCAACAAACATTTTTTCTTGACCTATTGAAGAACGACTAAATTAGTTACATTGTGTACTCATTTCCAAGCTAACAATTTATATATAGTTATATACAGTGGAAATACTGTGAGAAGAACACGTTAAGTCATCACGACTTATCAATTAGGACATTGACCAGTGGTGTATCATTTGCGTCTAAAATTCTAAAAAATATATTTCCATGTATTGTTTTCTGTCCTGTAATTCTGAAACGAGCTGATTTGAATAAGTACGAAAGATACGAAACACTGTTAGGTTAAATCATGAAGGAATCACAAAACAAAATATCGAACATCGCTAATGGTAGGACGGTATGATAGGAGAATACCTATCACAAAACTTTGACTTTATTTCTGTATACTACCCATTTTATGAAAGTTTTATGACATATCGATATCTTAAATAATGAAAGGGCGACAGTATGGGATAAAAAAATCTCCCAATATATCTTTACTTACATACAGTTTCTTTTATTTATTTATTGATTCAACCGCCTGTAATTTTTTATTCTTAAAGATACACCTGTAGTTCTTTGAGCAAATTTGTATTATTTTAAAAGATCTATGTGATGGCAACCTCATATTTTTATTATCCCTTCGGTAGAACCGGAAATGACGCCAGCTTTATTTTTTTGTAACGGAACACTAGGTATATTTTTTCTTAAATGGAAAGATTGATTTTTCTAAAAAATCAAAAGCAACCAATATTCTAAAATCAACGCTTAAAAAGTTATTCAATAAAATAGACGAAAAATTCATATTTATCATGACAATCTAGCAGCTTGAAAAGTTGACACTCATGCCACTTATGATCTTTTAAAATGATACAAATTTGCTCAAAAAACTATATGTTTATCTCTAAAAATAAAAAGTTACAGAGATTGTATCAAATAAAAGAAACACGTGGTATACCGGGTGTCTGGAAAATGGTGGATTAACTCTTCAGTACGTTATATACGGGGGTTTCGGGAGTCAAAAAAAAAAATATGATGTAGATTACGATTAATAAATAAACCAGAAAAACATTTAATATTCCATTTATAAATTATAATCAAAAACAAAACCAACAAAAGAAAAATCCATTAAAGCATAACCAACTAAACACCAAAGAAGATGTTCAAAATTCCTGGCTTGTGCATCTAAGTACGCTCGTAATGTTTCTAAATTTTGATCATTTTTTGTAAAAGTGGGCGGGGCTAGTACCTGCTAAGATAAAACTGATTTTGGCAAATGACATACACTCTAAGACAGGAGAGGGTGGGTGGGCGAGGCTAGTACCTGCTACGATAAGACTGATTTTGGCAAATGACATTCTTTCGAAAAAACGAGAGGGTGGGTGGGTGGGGGTAGTACTTGCTAAGATAAAACTGATTTTGGCAAATGAGATACTTTTAAGAAAAGAAAGGGCAGGTGGGTGGGACTAGTACCTGTTAAGATTGATTTTGGTAAATGACATACTCTCTAAGAAAATACGAGGGCGGGCGGGTGTGTCTAGTACCTACTAATATAAGACTGAGTTTAGCAAATGATGTATCCTCTAAGAAATTTAATTAAATTATTACAAGAAAAGACACTAGAGGCTCCAAAGCACTTTCAAATTATTTCCAAACAGGAATACCTAGAACTTCAAAATTGTTTTAAATTTCAAAAAAAACAAAAAACCACGGGGTCTCAAAATGAACTCGAAAACAGGTCAGGTCAGAAATCGATATTTCCTTACTACAAATTTTGCATTTTAAACATGTTTTAAGTTTCATGTTGTGAAAAGAAGTCTCCACATATTAAAATAAAAAGGCAACATGTAAGCCCGCCCACCCGCCCTATCTCAATTGTGACGATTTTTTTTATTCGTCGTTGGAGCAGAGCTTAACTGCAAAATACTTATTTCTTTACAAGAAATTAAAAACATGTTTTTGGGTATCGCGTCAAAAATTACTATGTATATTACCAAAAAAGGCAACATATCAATTGTGATATGTTTTACTTTTAAGCTTGAAACACGTTGAAAATATTTGTAAGAAAATATGCATTTTACAATTAGGCTCCGCCCTTAGGTCTGCCGACGAATGAAAAGTTCATTATTATTTAGATCAGGACAGGTATGGGTGGAGCTTAATCTTTGACTTTAATTTTTTTTTTAATATACATACTATAGGGTATTCCACTGCACTTTGCACCGCTAGAGACCCCACGTCTGTAAGGGCAAAATTACCAAAAAGTGTCAAATATTGTGACTTTCATGTGGTAAAGTTGTCCCTCTGCATGCGGCGGATGTATTAGTAGATATATTAACAGTTAATTTTTATTCAAATCAAACAAAATGTGCAAAGACTGATTAACCAAGGCAGTTGACAAATACACAAAACACAAATGTCAATTTAGCTGTTGCCAACCTTTGGTTAGAAATTCGTGCCCCTTCGGTGGTGGCGACATCTCTACTTTAGCTTTGCGTGGAATGCCCTATTCTTTGAATAACACGATAATCAAAAACATGTCTTACATGGTAATATTTTGTAGAGAAATAATAAGGATTTTGCAATTAAATTCCGCTCGTTTGGCTCTCGACGATTAAAAAAATCATCACAATTGAGATAGAGCGGGTGGGCGGGGCTTATATTTTGCCTTTTTTTCTTAATATACATAGCCATCTTTTCATGACAAAAAACTTCATCTTTAAAATGGTAAATTCTTGTAGCAAATCTTGCAATTAAGCACCGCTCCTCGAACTGACAACGACGAAAAATTCGTCACAATTGAGAATTGAGATCGGGGCGGCTATGGGTGGGGCCTAATCTTTGGCTTTATTTTTTTCTTAATATACATAGTATTCTTTGAACAACACGACACTCAAAAACATGTTTTTAATTTCTCGTAGAGAAATAAGGATTTTTCAGTTAAGCTCCGCCTTCTTGGCTCACGACGAATACAAAAAATCATCACAATTGAACTAGGGCGGGTGGGCGGGGCTACATTTTGTCTTTTTTTTTGATTATGTGTAGACTTATTTCGACAACAAGAAACTTAAAACATGTCTAAAATAGTAAATTTTTGTAGTAATCAACTTAAATCCTCCATTTTTCTTCTATAACCCCTTTAAATACGGCAAAAGTTAAACATCAAAGTTACTATCAACGGAAACTTGGCAACGGAGTTTATAAATGACAATTTTCGGCTCTAAAAGTAACGTCAGCGGGAACAGCAACTGCAACGGGAACTTAACGTCGACAGCAAGTTTATAAATCCCACTTTAAAGTATAATCTCAAACTGATGAAATTGACATCTAGTTACTTTTTGAGGAGGTTGTGCTTTTTGTAACTAAATGTCAATTTTATGCACAATTATGGCCCACTGCGTCGACAACCATTTTAAAGTGCTATACCTATAATTTCACAGCGAAATCTTTTGTAATCACCTTGTATAAGACATATGTATTAAAAATTATTGTAGATTCTAAAATTGCGTTGATACCTCATTTAAAAAATTAAAATATGAAAAAATCATTTCGGTAACAGGCAATCATCCATGTTCTCGCACGTTTAGGGGATTTGGCGGAACGCCACCCTCTAGGTTGGTAAGAGTTGAAATATACATACATCAGGTACAAAATTTGAGGGTCACTTGAGCTTGCGCAGCAATGCCAATTGAAATGTGTGTTAAATTTTAGTAGCATAAATTTAGTCTGAAATCTCATAAAAGAGCAACTGTTTAAACGAAAATTAATCGCATTGGTTATTAATGATTTTCCAATCTGAAATGAGTGAAGCAAGCTTTGACTAATTCATCAACACGTGTAAATTTGGTTTTATTGGTTGTAAATTCACAGTTCACGTTAAAATTTTAAATTGTTCACTATTCCGTTTTAATATAATGTAAATATTCATAAGTATAAAGCACGTGTCAGGAAATTCAGTTATTCAAGCTTCACTCTTTGGTTTATCACGATATATCAAAAGTTGTTGATGTTTTTACTTAAGTATCACATTTAAAATTTTAGAATAGTATTATTATTTGTGAGTGTTTTTTTAAGTTATTATGTATCACCGTTTGATAAACTGAATTTAGAGATTTTATTGCTGATGTTCACCCAACGTGAAATGTGCACCAAAGTCGTGTAATTTTTTATTTTCTACTGCATTTAATATCCGCCTGTTGTGTTTATTTCATATCTGCTTTGTTAACATGTGAAGATTTTTTTAAACCACGATAAAACTTCTAATGCGAAATTTAACAACATGCAAATTAATTGTTGTTTTAAATTTTTGATAGAGTGTGGATAATTTAACCTCACGTAAATTCTTTGTTGTTCGAAATTCTTGATAAGATGTCGCGCAATTAAATGTTGTTTGCTTCGTTTCTCGTAATTCTAAAATTCATTCAGTTGCCGAGAAAGGTGGGATTTGAATTTTAATTGAAAAGAGCAACACATTTTGTCCAAAATGGATTTCTAATTGAAAACTTTATGGCGAGACCCATATCCGCGTGAAAGCTACAGCTTGTACCAATATCTGGCTATTTTGCCAAGAATAGGTAGAGTATAATTTGCTCAAATAATACAATTGTTATTACTTATGTTAACTGCTCTCTACTAAACATGAAAACATATTTGGCAATAGTCAAAAAAACACAAGAACTTACCACATCCAGTGTTGCCCTTGATAATAATTACTGGACTATCATTAATCGCCTGCATAATCTGACTTTTCATTGCGAAAGCAGGCAACTCTTTACGTTCTCGTAAGCTTCTCTGTAGCTGTTCATTATGGGCTAGTGCCTGTTTACTGTCTTCCAACAACTGGTCACTAAGTTGATCTAAATTAGCATTAGCTAAAGGTCCTTCATCAATATTGCAACCAGTCCAAGGATTCCAATTTTGTTGAGGTGGTGACCACGGCACCACACCTGCCGCTGTAGGTTTTGAGGCTTGAAACTCTTCCAGAACATGGTTACTCAAAAGAGAAACTGGTTGTCCGTCATTGTCAGGCTTTACTTCAGTAGCAGTAATGTTCAAATTTTCCAAACAATCTCTAATCTGCTCTTCCAATTGTGGCGATATTTTTACATCAAATGGTTTCATTTCGCTACCGCTTTTTTCCTTTTTCAAAGTACCAGAAAACGCTTCTATTACACCAAGATGGAAAAGTTGGCGAACAATTGAAAGAGCGCAACTTTTACTCGCAGTTTGCTTATTAGAACCGGAATCGCGGCCAGTGATTGTTCTAGCAAGCGCTTTTACGTAAAAACTTAGTTCAGCCACAAACGTCCTAAAAAAGGTTGCACTTAGCGACTGCAAATGAGGAATTTAATATACTTACGAATTGAAGAAGTTTACACATACAGTTTTTATCTACTATCAGAGCAGAGTTCCTACACAAAAACAGAACCAAGAACAGTAAAATAATTATTAATCACTGAAGTCAGAGTACATCATTTAAAATCCTTCTGGATATCTAAACACAGAAGAATCATAAATAAAATCCATCTTGTTTTTTTTTATAATCAATGATAATAGAATTACTTATTTGGTTAACTAAATAGGTAATTCTACTATCAAAATCATCTTCACTTTGTTAAAAATTTTATATATTATATTAAAGAAGGGCTTTCATTCCAATGAAATTCAACAAAAATAAAAGGCAAACTTAAAAAAAATCTAAATATTTTGGAAGTGTTACTTTTCCATGTTGCATTTAAAAATTTATTTCATAAGTTTTGAAAATTATTTCTAAGTTTGTGTGTATCCTTAAGTTAAATCAATCAGCTTCCTCTTTTCAAAACTAGTTGAATCTCACTCGAATAGCCCATACATTATACTTCATTTTTCTGAATTTGGTTCTGCTGTTGCAATAGCTCCATCATATTTTTAACTGACCCTGGTTCTATACGCTAATCATGCACGAAATATAATACATCAACAAACCTGGAATGATCTGGTCCAACTTGGGTATATTTATAATCAGCATGAATTTTATTAGTTTGCATAAACTGGTGCAATTTGGATTTGGCATTCTCAACGGTCCAGTTTCCATGTATTTGTGCATTCACGTCTAGGTCTTCAGCATCTTCGAGATTTTTTTGTTCTTGGGCCCTGTTCATGTAATGCCATCCATCAGTTTGGTCTGATCGGTCTCTTCCAACAGGGCGATAAGCATCTCCAAAGGATGAAGGACCCATACCCTGTTGGAATACAGAAGGAGCTGGGCCTTGGTTCCGTTCAGGATTGTCATTGCCTGTTAAAAATGATTGTGTAATGACAGATCACAAAAGAAGGTTGAATTACCTCCAGTTGTTGATGGCGCAATTTCTAGTTCAGGGACGTCTTGGCGATTGACTATTCCTTCTCTTACGAGGTAACTGACAAAGTCTCTTGCTGCATTACTTTGAGCGTCTTTCTTATTTGTTGAATTTCCTGCGCCGACGTAACTGTAGCCATCAATTCGCACTTCACAAAGGAATCTTTGACGGTGTTTAGGACCTAAAAATGATGAATTCCGCTACAGCACTTAAGTCTGTTATGAAATACTTTTAATTTGAAAGGCTACGGCGAATAGAGTTATCTGAACACATGCAAATATCTGCTACATTAAAATTTTCTGACAAAAGTATGAATACCTGTAGGGCGAACTTCGAACTGGGGCTGGTCCTTTTTATTTTTTTGGCAGAACTGGTGCAGAAAGGATTTTATATCCGCCATTATTGGGCGTCGTTTACTGTAAAAAAATAGAGCACGCGTAAATAATTAACATATTTAAGGCACTTTTACTACTAATAAAAATGTACGTAAAGTAAGTTGGGCGTTAAAGTGTATAATATTTGTCATACAGTGATCACGAACTTACCTTCATACGCAGGCCACACCTTGAATAATGTATGCCACTAATAAATGAAAAAACAGCACTTAATACTGTTGTTTTCACAGGATATTCGGTGCAATTTTATTGATTTTAACAAAATATCAAAACGTTCGGCTAACGCCGGCTTACAACTGTCACTTATAAATGCAACAATTCTTAGTTGTCTCACTGCTACCAATTTTCAATGAAAACCCTAAATTGCTAGGTTAGAAACACATAGGCGGCTCGCAATTCATTTGGTAGGGGTGTCACATAATAGATCTATTAATAACCCCTAGAAAACACATAGTATCGTCACCAGAGACTTTAATATGTATAGACCGGCTATCACCCTAAATTCTAGTGTATTTTCTTGAAGCAGTTGTGTACACAGGAAACGCCGCCATTGCTGGTCCCTTTCTGTCAATTCTGAACAACTTAACCTATAACTGGAACTATCTCCACTCAGCCCAAATGTCCTAGGGAATTGTGAAATAGAGCCAAATGAGTTGGACGACGTTTCAGTAAGAGAAGTTTTAATTCAAACGGAAAACGTTGGACTTACCTCTGAAAATTCATCACTTAATGAGCACTCTACACATGTTGTAGATTATATAGCAGGTTTTTGTGCGAAACAAATTCAAGTCAATTTAGATTGTACAGAGTGTATAGATTTGCTTATTGACAATGATATGTCACATAAAGCGGGGGTAATATTAATTAAAGATGTAAATAATGCTTTAACTGTACCGTCTGAGTTTTTAAAAACTATTTGTAGACATGCAGAAAAAGTAATTAAACAAAACTTCGACTTGGTCAATGCAAAAAAAATCTTAACAAAATTATTCACATTGACATTGAGAAGTATAGGCTTACATTTCTTTCATAAATTTAACCATTTTTTTGACGCGACGGAAATACTTAGATAAAAACATGAGTGAGTCACATTTTAATAAATTAATTATGTGCATTAAAAACAGAACTGATTAGAGGAGAAAATGTTCGGCAAAAATATAATAAATTAATTTTGAAATTGTCCAGATTTTAAATTTGGCGCGATTTTGGGACTAAGCAATATGGCGACTGCCGGCTTCAAGTTTTAGGCCACATAGCCGGTCTATACATATTAAAGTCTCTGATCGTCACCGTGAGCAAACCTGGCGGAAACTTAACAAAAACAAAAATTATAAATATCATTTGACAGACCGAGAAATTTAAAATGGTTTTATGTTGGATTTAAAGTTTGTAGTTTATATACAAAATATGGAGTTTTAATTTGAATAAAATATAAAATTTAATCAATAAAATCTTATTTAATAATTATTAGTTATATGAATTGACAATTAATTGACTTTAAACAAAAAGACCACGCCAAGACCACGTGACAACAACGGTTTACGCGCTGTCAACTCTCTGCTGACACAATTTGGTTCCAAACCAGGGGAATTTTTTGCGTTACCAACTGCATTTGCTCCACTCATACAACAATGGATGACGGTACTATAGTCTTTGCCATTTCTATTGAAACCTTAGATCATATAATAAATAGATACCAATACTCAAACTGAAAGGTGTGACTAGACATGAAGCTATCTGTTGTCGTTTTCTACGTCCAGGGGAGTAGTATAATGCTATCCTTGTGTGATCACCACATCTTCATCTTTGTTATATGCATTTCATCTGTATATGTCTATTTCACTTCCATCCTTGTACCGCACCAGCGCAACAAGTCGCTTTTGACAGATGTTTCTTCTAACCTCTCTTTCGAGTTGTTGTACAAAAAACAATTTTAGAATTTAGAACAAAGATCCTATTTTAAGTGATGTAGTCATAAAGGATCACAATTGCTGCCCAATAATTTACTATTGCTTTCGTTATCTACTGTGAATTATTTATAAAATCAAGCTGTCAACATCTTTCTTCCGAAGTTAGTTCAGACATACTTCCTAAAATTTAGGCGCGCAAAATTCAAATAGTGATCAGGCAAGGATAGCTTCATTGTAATCCCTCCATGCACGAGAGAGATGTGTGACAGGAGGATGTCGTCACAGGCTGTCCTAGGGAAAGAACACGGCATGGTGGTATCTATTTATTATATGATCTAAGATTGAAACACCACTTGTTGAACGTAAATTTGGCAACGTTCATATTCAGACAATTTTCTAACTAAAAGCCGTTGTCAATCAACCGAATGCTGTTACCAATTGCTAAATTTTAAGCAAAATCAACAGGTGGTGTTTCAATATAAATGGCAAAGACAATATGTATTTCTAGGGGCTATAATATCTCTTAATCAGGGGTCCCCATGTAAAAGATGAATTTTTTTAAAAATTGAAATTAGTATCAAAAAGATTGAGATTTAGCAAAAAACAGATGGAAAATAAGTTCTTCCACTCTATCATAAATTTTAGTTCAGTCATTTTATGCTATTATGAATTCTAAACAGTTCTCATCTAATTATTTTTATTTGCCGCAAATTTAAAGATCGCATACGGTTGTTCCAAAATTATTGTATAAAATGATTACTTATTAATTTAGAGAGCGGATTTATAAGCACAAAAAAATTAAGAATAAGCGCTTAAATAAGCACAACATTTTCAATAAAAAAGTTTTATTTTAAGCAAAAAAGCATTAAATAAGCATAACACTTTCATTAAAAAAGTTTTATTTTAAGCAAAAAAGCATTAAAAACATAATCATATTACAAATCAAAGAACACTTCTTAGAACTTTGGATAAAATATTATTACAATAATCCTAGACTTTATATTTTACACACGTATTTCAGTTTTCTTTAAAACAATTTACGATTGTAATATGTTCCAAGTTGTCCACTGTAAAATTTTTTCGCCGATCATTTAAAATGTATTTAAAATTGGAGAATGTGCGTTCAACATCCACACTCGTTGTTGGCGCAAATTTGAATTTTGCAACTAATGTTGAATCTAACTCCAAATTTTCCACCTTCTGGCCTTCTAAAACACGAGCAACGTCGGAAAGAACACCGAAACCTGCATTTTTATTTAACACTTCGTCAAGTTTTTGAGATACTCTAGTACCAATATCCCCTTACTGCGTTTGCTTGTTGTTTAAATTCTTTCACCAAATTTATGGCATCTAACAAGAACATGTTGGGTTTTTCTAACTTTTCTATTACCTCACATACGAATTGATAATTGCTTCTTAGAAAAGCTAGATCTTGTCGCAAATCTTTGTTTTCCAAAATATTTATGCATTCTTTAATCGATTGAGAAGAATTTTCGCTAAACTCCGTAACTACTTCCTCAAATTCTTTGATATATTTGTCATAATAAAATGTGGCCTGTAACCATGTTCCCCACCTCGTTATAATCGGCTCTGGGGGCAATGGTATGTTTGAAAATTTTTCCTTAAAATGTTGCACTCTTAGTGGGGCTTTAACAAAAATCTTTTTACCATTTGCCACTAATTTATTAACAGTGGGAAACTGCAAACGTATTCCTTCAGCCACTCTGTTTAAACCGTGGGCAATCAAAGTAGAGTGAATTAAATTGGGGTACAATATTTTTAGATTATTCCCTGCTTTCAACATATAACGAGGTGCATCCGAGATCATCAATAAAATTTTATTCGCCGGTACGGCATTTGGCAAAAATAGTGACGTAAGACTGTCATGTGTAAAGCTGTAGATAATGTATATAATGATGTATTTTGTTAGGGACACCCAGAAATTTGTTATATTTTTTTCTTTTTTTATTGTTAATTTTCTTTATTTAACTTTATTTTGTTAAACACACATTGTTATTAATATTGTCCTATAAGTGGTAAATCTGTTGGACAATAAAGAACATATTATTATTATTATTATTATTATTATTATTATTTACAAATCTGGTAATCGTATTGCCATTTGTTTTATCTAACATTTTCAAACTTACTACATACCCTCGACTAGGGAAATTTTCATTTAAGATTCCAACAATTAACACAACTATCGGTTGTTTCATCGACAGCGAACTATAAATAATTATCTCCAATGCGATGTTTAATTTCGTTGTAAACTTGCTGAAACACTGGGCCTACATAATTTTTTCGGAGAGTACTTTCAACCGGAATATGTCGATTGCAGTGTTTTTCAAGGAATTCTTGAAGAGGGCCTTTCTCCAATTTTTTTAAAGGTATATTGGACTGGATCATAAGTTTACATAAATCGAAATTAAACTGAAACTGCTCATCTTTTGTGGAAGTAGATGCAACAGATTCATGTATGGTCTGCTGTTTAATTTTAGAAACTTTACACATTTTCTTCCTTTCTACATGAAGAGTCGTTCTGACATGTTGCGTCACGTTATATTTTTTATCACTTTGAATCTAAAACAACGTACATATACAGAATCAACAAAGGAAAATAGATAAAAAAAAATAGTGGGCTTACGGTTTTCACACAAGCTCTGCAGAATATTTTGTTGTTTTCTAATTTTAATTCTGGAAAATCCCTTATCCACTCATCGATTTTACTTTCGGCATTCTTTTAAAATATTAGTAATATTACCAAAAAGAACTCAACATGTAACAAGGGAGAACCACGTATAACACTGTACTACGACAGATGCGATAGACTGATGGTTGTGAAATAAACGATTCATTTACTTAAAAGTTTCCATTAGAAAAATTTTAAGGTAGGTAGTTGGGTACAATAATCCTTTTTTCTAGAAAATCTTCAACGGTCTTGCCGCAAAATGCCGAAAAAGAACATCTGGTTAAAAGCTTTAATTCATTATCAACGGAAGTAAGGATTTAAAGTCATAAAATCTATGGAGTATTTTTCCAATCCTATAATAAAATTTTATTACCCAAACGACCGGAACCTATTCACAGAAAGGGTCTTGAGTAAGTGTACTTCAATGGTCAAGTCCAGGTAAAATGCATACCATACGATACGGCTAACTAACAAGTATTTGTCATCCCGACAAGGCCGGCATTTGAACAAAATATGCATTAAAACTCATATTCGTCGAAAAAAGCATTAAATAAGCATACAGGGTGTTATTGAAAGGTACGTACAACAAAATGGACGGTTCTTCGCGAAGTCTAAGAAGTCGGAAAAACTTATTTTGTCTTATAAAAATTTTAAGGGGAAAATTAACCCTTATCCAATCTGTTTAGACGCTACT